GCTCCTCGTCCCGCCTTCCCCGGTGCGCGGCAGAGCGCTTCTGTCTGATCCACATGCTCCTCTACACCAGTTGGTTTTCCCCATTTCTTAGTTTAAAAACTGCATTGCGGCCTTTTTAATGTTAAGTGCCAACAGTCTGGATCCACTTTGGTTTAAGTGGAGTCCATCCTTCCTGTACAGGCTCCCCCATCCCAAAAGTTTCTCCAGTTCCTTATAAATCTAAACCCCTCCTCCCTATACCATTGTCTCATCCACGCATTGAGACACTGAAGGCCTGCCTACCTGGCTCTGTGCGTGGAACTGGAAGCATTTCTGAGCAAGCCACCATATAAAAGTCCTGGATTTCAGTCTCTTTTCTAGCAGCCTAAATTTGGCCTCCAGGATGTCTCTCCTATCCTTCCCTGTATCATTGGTACCTACATGTACCATGACCACTGGGTCCTCCCCAGCACTACACAGAAGTCTATCTAGATGCCTCAAGAGATCTGCAACCTTTGCACCAGGAGGCAAGTCACTATACAGTTCTCGCGGTCATCGCAAACCTAACTATTTATTTTTCTAATGATCAAATCTCCCATTATTAACATCTGCCTTTTCCTAATGATTGGAGTTCCCTCCCATGGAGAAGTAACCTCAGTACAAGAGGATATCCCAACATCATGTGAAAGGAGGGTCCCAACTATGGGAAGGTTTCCCTGTGCTGCTGCTCTCCTACCCTGAGCCTTTCATTCTCCTTAACAGGGCAGGGGTGTCTGACTGGAGGTGGGACAATTCTACAATGTCCCAGAAAGTCTCATCAACATACCTTTCTGTCTCCCTTAGCTCTTGTAGTTCAGCCACCCTGGCCTCCAAAGCCTGTACGCAGTCTGGGTGCCAGGAGTTCCTTGCACCAAATGCACACATGCCACCCGCCCTCAGGGCAGGTAATCGTACATGCCACACTGGTTATGTCTACACTCGCGGCTTCTTGCACTAGTACTGCCATTCTTGTGCAAGAATCCGCAGAGTGTCCACACTGCCCGCCCGCTCTTGCAGAAGAAAATTTACAGTAAGGCGTGGTAAGAGAGGGCTTCTTGTGCAAGAGCTATGCTGTTCTTTAACAGGTGTAAGCCCTCTTGTGCAGGAGCTCTTGTGCAAGAGGACAGTGTGGACGCTTGACAGGGATTTCTTGTGCAAGAAAGTCCAATGGCTAAAATCCAGTATTTTTCAGATTGTCAGGTTGCCTGAAAATTTTCATGAGCCTCGGGCTACCCTATCTGAGGCTGAGTTCCAGTCTAGTTTTGTCAATGATATAGCATTGACTACCTTTCAGGCTCTCCTGTGGGAGCTGCAGCTGCTCTCATGTAGCTGCTTCATATGGAGAGCATGTTGTCCTGCTGAGAGGAATGCTGCTCATTGCTGTCTGCTCTTGATACAGGGAAATAGTCATAACAACTGCCTCATCACTGGTGATAGCCCTGAGGATTGCGGATGTGAGGTTAGCTGTAGCTTCCTCGTTCTTCACCATATATTAAAGGCATTAAATATAGGTTGAACCTCTCTAGTCCAGATCTAGAGAATTTACCGGGTCACAGGAGGTCAATATTGTCTAGCAGCATTACGAACACTTCCACTGCTTACTGGGATTTTAGAAGACATTGAGGGGTAAATTAGAGCTAAAATTTGATCACACCCATGGTAAGTGGACATCCAGCTAACTAAAATCATGCTGGCTCACGGATGTTGCCAGACTAGGGTTCAACCTGTATACAAAAATACCCCAAAGTGTTGACAAAGATTATTAGAATGAGACCCAAATGATATTTTGAATTTTAAAAATTCCAGTTGTAGTCAAATAATTTTTTCACCAAAAAGTTTGGAATACAATTTGCTACAGTTTGAGGCTGATTTAAATAAATCAGAAATAACCAAAGCCTTTAAAAAAGGAGTTTCGTCTGAATGCTCATTCTCAAACCCATCTTTTGGGCATTGAACTGGTATAAGCAGCCAAGGATTAAGTGTAAAATTATTTCATATTGATGCTTTGCAGTAAAGAGCAAAGCAGAAAGTAACACCACAATTTAATTTTTAGTTTACTTATTGCCAGGGCTCGACAAATAATGGAATCTACTCACCATGGGTGAGTAGATTACAACCCGGAAGAGCCGGCTCAGAGCTATCTGTGCATGCGCAGAATGGCGCAAAACCATGTGGCTGACGAGCGGGGCTCGCCGCCGCTTGGCGAGTCCTGCTTATTGCATATAACTTTCAGGATTCTCATGTGAACTGAGAAAGTAGAAAATGTGGCTTCTTCGTCGAGAGGCGTCCCTAAGGGTGCTCCACATCAGGTGTTGAGCATTCCAGTGCTTCTCCATGGATTTTTCTGAGCAATGTATTGGGGGTTGTGCATGTGTAGCGTGCACGAGCCTCCCGCAGTACTCTTGTGCATGCACCGCCCCCCGGTTTCAGATGGAACTCTCCTGCTCTCGCAAAGATTTCTCCTCACAAACTTCTTTCTTCAAATAGTTGTTTAGAGTTAGTTTATTTCCACAGTTCCTGTTAGTAGTTAACTAATTTACTTGTTTAGAGTTAGTTAAAAGAAAAACCCAACCGCCCGCAGTCCTGAACTGCGATCTCCAGCCACCCGGCTTTGAAAGCTGCAGGCTCTGCAAGAAATTAATGCCTCACCAACTGCGCTAAGACAAAAACACGCAAAAACAGACAGCTGTGATTTAAAATGTCATTCTTTGACAAGGACAAACACCATACCTCTGACCCGGGCTTGGGTCTGAGCAATACACCTATGAGGCAAACATTCCCTAAGCCATCAAAGGCAGGGATGAGCTCTCTGAGTCAGCAGCCCAGAAAGCTGCACGCTGAGGGGAGAAATACACAGTGCTCAGGCAATAACAGCTTGAGCAGGTTTGACATCCCTGGCACTTTGGGTGAGCACAGAAAGGGCAATAAAAAGGCAAAAAAGTCTACCCTTTACTGGCATCAGGTCTTCCAGTGCCTGCCTCACGCCCTACTACGGGCCATAGGAGATCTTCCCGCTCCTATCACAGCATCGAGGAATCCCCTCATAGATCAGCTGCTGGGTGCTGGCCCCCCTCTCGTGTTACCAGGGGCAACACCTCAGATGAGCAGGGCAACTTTTGTTTACAGTCAGCAGAGCTATCCATGCTGCATACTCCCCTCATTAGCCACAAGGACCACAAAGACCTGGCAATCTCTCCCACTTTACATTCGCATAATTTGATAATATACATCCTCAATCTCCATTCTCTGATTACTCTGACTTCCCCTCCTCCCCCCCAGGACGATGAGGAATATTTACCTGCTTTTTCACCTCAGCCATATATGGAGGGCTCTACATGGTCTGCTGATCAGCCGCAACCAGATTTTCTTAGAGCACAAATGGCTCCCTGGGCTCCTTATTTTTTGAGCCACCGCCTATGCTTTTCCTCCCATAGTGGAAAATGTTCAATCAACCACCTCAACAATATAAAAAGAGACCATGTAAGACGAAGCATATGGCGAAACCCTGCTCTCTTTTAAACCTGTCACCCCACACCTCTATGAAGGGAACTGACAGTGAAAGCCACTGCTCTCTGATGTTGGCTTCTACATAACATTCAAACGCAGCCTCAGCCATAGAGTTGGCTTTGTTATCACCTGCTACTCATACCACCGATGATGATTTCCTCTTTCCAAGATTTATTTAAAAGAGTTGCTATTGATTTGAATATATCTATGGAAGAAATTCAGGTTTCTCAACATGAACTCACTAATCCTCCAGGCCAGTACAGCAACAAAGATGGCACTTCCTATTAATCCAGCTATCTTGGAGCCCGCTAAAACCCTATGGCAAACACCTGCATCCATCCCACCAACATGCAAGAAAGCTGATCGAAAATACTATGTTCCCCCCAAGGGTTCTCAATTCCTCTTTTCTCACCCTCCACTCAACTCCCTCATAGCAGAGAAACAAAAAGCCAAAATCATTCCATCCCATCCAAAAAGGACAATAAACGTATGGACATGTTCGGAAAGAAGGTTTATGCCTCTGCCACTCTTCAGATGAGAGTGGCGAACTATGCGGCTTTATTAAGTAAATATGACTTCAATAATTATACAAAGTTCAATACTTTTATTGAAGATATCCCTGACAGCAAAAAGGCACAGTTTCAGGCTCTTGTTTCAGAAGGTCAGATACCACAAATAGCCCTGCAAGCTGCACTTGATGCAACAAACACAGCTACAAGGACTACGGCAACAGCAGTCACTATGAGATGAGCCTCTTCTGCTTTTCCCTGCCAAGCGCAACCATCAGTTGAAGACCTTCTGTTCGATGGAGAAAAGCTATTTTCTGCAAAGACCAATGAACTGCTCCAATCGATGAAAGATTCCAGATCCATATTGCAGTCACTTGGTATCCAAACCCCTATGACGAGACAGAGACAGTACAGGTACCAACCATATCAGAGACCTAGGTACCCACAATTCACTTACCAGTACCAGAGACAAGACCATGCCCCATATCAACAGGGGGCACAGCGGGCAACACAGACAGCACCCTCAGACTAATAACCCCAACCGCTCATCCCAACCCAGCAAGCAAATTTGAAACAACAGTCGAGAGATGTACAACTACACCACATGCACCAGAGCTTGAGTTTGGTTCCAAACCTTCCTATTTTGTTTATTACCTTTCCTTTCAAATTGGGTATCTATTACCACTGATAAGTGGGTAACTCAAACCATCTCTCTAGGTTATACCATCCCTTTTCTCTCCCCTCCTCCCCAACCACCCACTCTGTCCTTCTTCAGGGACCCCTCTCACGAAATCATTTTACAACAAGAAATTGACCACCTTCTCAAATTAGGAGCCATAGAACCAGTACCTCAAGAGTTCCACGGAACCGATTTCTACTCACATTATTTTCTTGTAGAGAAGAAGACAGGCGGTCGGAGGCCAATCCTTGATCTTCGGTTACTAAATAAATACATAAGGAAACAGAAATTCAAAATGGTCATGCTAAATAATATTATCTCAGCTCTGGAGTCTAGTGACTGGTTTTCTTCTCTCGACCTGCAGGATGCATATTTTCATGTATCCATTTGCCCCCTCATAGACATTTTCTTCATTTCACTTTAGGTCTCCAACACTACCAGTACACGGTACTGCCCTTTGGTCTCTGCACTGCACCAAGGGTATTCACAAAGATGCTAGCAGCTGTCGCTGCTCACTTCAGAAAACAAGGGGTCACAATTTACCTGTACTTAAGACGACTGCCTTATCAAAGCAAGGACCAGTCAAGACTGTTATCAAGATACCATCACTGTGATAATCTGCTTTCAGTCATTAGGCTTCCTAATAAATTACGGGAAATCAACACTCACACCAACCCAAACAATCCAATTCATCGGAGCTCAGCTCAATTCAAATCACAGCCAGAGCCTCTCTACCAATAGATGGATTCACTCGCATCAGTCAACTCGCAGAATTGCTCCAAGAGATACCAGTAGTAAGGGTTTACAACTTCCTTCAACTATTAGGTCACATGGCATCATGCAATTCTGTGGTCCCAAATGCACGTCTCTTTATGAGAAACCTCCAAGGCTGGCTCCGACGCAAGTATACACGTCCATCATATGAACAAAGTGCTCACACTACCACATCCCTACACTGGTGGACAAAATCATGCAACATGTGCATAGGCATCCCCTTTGGAATCCTGGACCCCCTGTAATTGTCACCACAGATGCATCCCTTACGGGCTGGTGTGCTCATACAGAAGGCTGCACAGCACACGGCCTATGGTCTCCGGCAGACCGCATGCTCCATATCAATGCCCTCAATCTCAATGCCCTCAATCTCAGGGCAGTTCACCTGGCATTCCAAGAACTGTTACCCAATGTCACGGGAATACACGTAAAAACATACACAGGCAACACCGCATGCATGTTCTATATAAACAGGCAGGGTGGTGCCCAATCTCTCACACTGTGCCTGGAAGCAATAGCACTTTGGAATTGGTGTCTAGCCTGAGACATTCACATACCCGCTTGCCACCTTCCTGGACTCCTCAGTTCAACAGCAGATGCCCTCAGCAGAGCCCTGCCTCAAGAGCACAAATGGGAACTCGACTATGCACTCCTCACCGACATCTTCAACCAATGGGGTTTCACAGATATAGATGTATTTGCCACCTCAATCAACAAAAATGCCCAGGTTATTGCTCCATAACCTGGAATGCACTCCTACATTATGATTTTCCTCTGTTTCCTCTCCTCAACAGAGTTCTCGTAAAGATTCTGAACAACAAAGCAAAAGTTATCCTCATTGCACCCTGCTGGTCCCAACAGCCATAGTTTCCCCTCCTACACAGGCTAGCAATATATCAACCAATCACTCTTCCGAACGATCCCAACGTTATCTGTCAACAAGGGATTATGTATCCTCACCCACAGTTTCGCACACTCCATCTCAAGGTGTGGTACCTAGATGGTTCACGGGCATAGAACTGCAGTGCTTTCAACAAGTCTGTGATGTTCTCTTACAAAGCAGAGCACCTGCAACAAGAAAAACATACATGAGCAAATGGATTCGATTTGTTCACTGGGCAACCTCTCGTAACATATGACCACAAGACACTCCACTTCCTGATCTACTGGAATACGTGCTACACCTCAAACACTCACATCTCTCCCTCAGCTCAATCAGGGTCCACCTAGCAGCCGTTGCAACCTTCCACATAACAGTGAAAGACGCTACAGTCTTTGCACACCCAGTAACCAAGCGATTTTTGAAAGGTCTCCAGGCTCTATAACCATAGGTGGCACCCCCTCAAGGGCCTTGTGACTTATACTTGGTATTAACAACCCTCACAAAACCACCATTTGAACCCATACCTTCACCAATTCCGATTCAGGCACACTCCACAAGGGCAGTTGCCACGTCCGTTTCTTACCTGAGGAAAATCCCACTGCATGTCGTCAGAAAACACCTTTGCAAAACATTAGGCACTTACCTCAGGACCCCTCCAGCATACCAAACTAGCAAAAGCTGTACTACAAATGGCATACTTACCTGATCCGAAGTCCCTGCCTCCGTAAGAAAATATTGCTTGTAGTCACCTGATGTGGAACAACCGCAGGGACACCTCTCGATGAAGAAAAGGAGGTTACTCACCTTACTGTAACTGACGTTCTTCAAGATGAGCATCCCTGGATGTGCTCCATTACCCTTTCTTCCTCCCCTCTACTTTGGAATGCCCCTATGATATCTTAATTATATATTATTTGCTGGGTTCCGGATAGAGAAGAAACTGAAGGTGGGGGGGGCGCAGTGATAGTACTGAGGGAGGCTCGCGCATGCGCAGCCCCAGATACATTGCTCAGAAAAATCCGACGAAATGCTGGGCACTCAACACCTGATATGGAGCACCCGCAGGGACGCTCATCTCGAAGAATGTCAGTTACAGGCAGGTGAGTAACCTCCTATTGCGTGTGACACATGCAAAGATCTAATTTTCCAGAGCAGTGGTCCTCAATGCGGTGCCTGCGGGTGCCATGGCACCCGCTGGGGCATTTATGCGCACCCGCCAAAACATCTGGGCTGGCCCACCCCCCCCAGCGCGCGGCACATGCATGGTGCCAGCTCCGGGCACGTGGCGCATGGGCAGCCCCTGTCCCGGGCGTGGAGCACATGGCGTGGGTAGCCTCCACCCCCGGGCATGCAGCGCATGTGTGGCCCCATCCCCGGAAGCGCAGAGCGTGAGCGGCCCCGCCCCCGGACACCTGGCACGTGAATGGCCCCGCCCCTGGGCACCCGGCAGCCACGAAAGGTTGGGGATCACTGTACCAGAGGAACTTACCAGAGGCACTAGGCCCTCTTGACCTCATCTCCTTGTCAGGAGAATAGCAACAGTAGAACATAAGGATAGGATACTATGGAAAACTCCAGACTCTTGGAGATTAAAGAGATTTTTTTTTCTGAATATGATTATAAGCTGAGCTAGGTGACAATGTTGTTTTAAATAGTTATCCATGTTCTTGAATTTTTCAATCTAATTATATTTACTCTGTTTGCAAGTGACTAAAGTGAGATGGATTCATTGCCACGAATCTATCTGAACACAATCTAAGATGGATTGTCACGCAAAATGGATCCGTTCCTACAAATATTAATCTCTACATACCTTCCCAAATAGTCTCAAATCTCTCTGGGCATGAGTGAATCCATAACATCTGTACTGTACAGGACTTTTCAAACAAAGAGAAGTAAAATTAAATTGAACTTTAAATAAAGCTAATGCTAAGCTTAATGCTAACGCAGCAGCAGCAGTCCCTAAATTCTTTGTGGCAAACATGCTTCAGTGCTTCAAGAATCAAGCAAGTGTCCTTGGAAAAATCCAAAGTGAGTCTTCTACATTTAAAACTTGCGATGTACAGTAAACTTCCGATAATCCGGCACCTTTAGGATCCAGGGGGTGCCAGATTATCAGATATGCCGGACTATCGGATGGGGGGGCTATGAGGGCTCTGGGGTGGAGTGGGGTGGGGCTGCGCCCCTCGGCGCTGTGGGACCAACCCGACAGCACCCCAGCTGCTCTGTCCCAGACTTCCCCAAGTCAGCTGCTGCTGAAACTGACCAGCGGCTAACTCGGGGAAGCCTGGGGCAGAGCAGCTCCAATTGTCCGGCTGCCCGGAGCCCTTTCGGGTTCCAGATGGTGCCGGACTATCAGGAGTGCTGGACCATTGGATGCTGGACCACTGGAGTTTTATTGTATTCTGGAATCCTTTATTAAAAGTTGTTGCTTAGGTGACAAGTTTAGAAATTAAGGAAAATTTCTGAAGTTCAGTGATGACTGAACATGACTGCCTTATTTTCCTATCATGAAGAACAATTATTATCATTGGCTATTACAATAGAGTGTGGAAGGCCCTAATCAGCAGGGCTCGACAAATACACTCGCCCACGGTGAGTAGATTTTGCCAGCTGGCGAGTGCAGGAGTGGACTGGCCCGGTGGGCTGTTGTAACGGGCTGGCTGAAGCCTGCACTACGGGCAGTACGGCCCCATCCAATTCGCCAGCTGGCAGAGGAGCAGAGCGCTGCCAGGGAGGGGGAACTGCGGCGATTCTCAGTGCCGGGCTGCCTGTGTGCAGCTGCGGCGCAAGGAGGTGGAGTGCCAGCAGAAGCTAGGACGCTGGTGTGACATGGCCTTGCCGATTTTAAAGGGCCGCAGCAGCTCTGTCTACACTGGCCACTTGAATTTCCACAAGAACACTGATGATCTCATGTAAGAAATCAGTGCTTCTTGCAGAAATACTATGCTGCTCCTGTTCGGGCAAAAGTCCTTTTGTGCAACAGCTTTTGCGCAAAAGGGCCAGTGTAGACAGCTGAGATTTGTGCAAAAAAGTCCCGATCACGAAAATGGCGATCGGGGCTTTTTTGCGCAAAAGCGCGTCTAGATTTGCACGGACGCTTTTCCGCAAAAAGTGCTTTTGCGGAAAAGCGTCCGTGCCAATCTAGACGCTCTTTTCTGCAAATGCTTTTAACGGAAAATTTTTCCATTAAAAGCATTTGCGGAAAGTCATGCTAGTCTAGACGTAGCCCAGGAGTTTAAGGGCACATCTACGGTGCAGGGCAAAAGTTGAATTAAGATACAAAACTTCAGCTACATCAATTGTGTAACTGAAGTCAAAATAGCTTAATTTGGCTGTTGGCGACTTCCCTTACTCCTCGTGAAATGAGGGTTACACGAGTCGGAGTAAGAAGTCCTCCATCTCAATGTTATTTCAAAATAATGGCTTGCTGTATAAATGTGCGTTTTGTTATTTTGAAATAATGTCAGTTATTCCAAAATAACGGTGCTGTGTAGTTGTACCCTATGAGAAGAAGGATTTAAAATAAAAGTAAGTACTATTGCATGTTCTAAATGGTATTGAATGATGGGAATCAGTTACAGAAGACGACCATTCCTTAAAATATGGGAGAAGCATGGCAAGGATATGGGGAATACAGGAAGTAATATTTGATATGTTAATAAATTATTTCTGGTGATATAAAGAGGATTAGTGAATAGAAAATCCATAGCTGATAGAGGGGAAGGTGTCATAAGAAGACAGCAGTGCTTTTTTTGTTAAAAAAAAAAGTGTGCTGGTACTCATTTCTTGAGGAAAGTAAATTTGAAAAAATGCCTCTCCCACCCTTCTTCCTATAACATGTCAACATATTGATGCGCATAAGCGAAAAGGAGGAGTCAGTCAGGCTGGGGGCTATGCTGAGAGAAAGCAGCCCAGTGCGAGTGCTCCCAGGGGCGGCAGGGGGCTGTGCCCGAGGGAAAGTGGTGCGGTGCGAGTGATCCCAAAAAAAGGTGCCGGTGTGCTGTGTACCATCACAAAAAAAGCTCTGGAAGACAGGATCTGTTAACAAAATGGTTCAACAACCATCTTTTATATATCTGAGCAAGAGCAGTTGATGCCATCCATACTCTGAAGTTTCCAGGGCAGATTCTGTGTTGTGTCTTCTGAGACATCACAGAAGTCACAGTGTTGGGAAGGAGGCAGTAAGATGGCTTTATACCATCCATGTAATTGGTGGGCAACCTGTGGCCTGCGTACTCCCTCTCTGTGCCCCTTACTCTGGGACACTGGAGCCCCGCACTTACTCCTCCCCTTCCCTTCCAGCAGTTTGAGTGCTGTGAATCACCTGATTTGTGCTCCATCCCAGCTTTTCCTCCCTCCCAGAGCTTGAATGCCGTGGATCAGCTGATTTGCAGTGCCCCAAAAGTGCTGGGAGACCGAGGGAAGAGTAGGTAAGTACAGGCAGGGCCGGATGGAAGCATGGGCGAGCCGGGTAGCTGCCCGGGGGCACCAACCGATGGGGGGCACCTGATGGCAGATGTAAGGGGCGCACAGCATCCCTTACAGCTGCCATCAGACACTGTGCG